CTTTAGAAATAGGTGCTTGGTGTTACATTAAAACTCCGTGGTTGTTTTCTCTTCTGCACAAGGGAGCAGCAGGAGCTTGTTTGTGGCATCCCACATCTGCAAATGCCTCTGCCTGTGCTCCCAGACATCCACTGAAATCCCCTGGGGCCAGGGGATTAATCACGGGCATCAAGTTAAGCATGCCTGTGTTTAGCAGGAGTAAAGATTTATTCCAAGGATCAGCTTTGTTCCAAGGCCTGGCCCTGATCCATGACCAGGATTTTTCTGTCCTACGGCAAGGCAGGTAACAGAAATGTTTGTCCTGCTGGTGTCTTGAAATGCTTCTGCCCTTCCCTTCCTCGAGCCTTGGCTGGAGGCTCCTGCTCAAGCAGAACTTGGGAGCCCTGTGTGGGATTTGGCCCCATATTCCTCCTGCCAGGTGGGTGAGTGGGATTTCTGTCCACCCAGAGGGGAACCCCTCGGTTTCCAGACTGTGAGCAGGTCAGTAAATGGGGTGTCACATTAAACCAGAGGTTTGGCTTTAAATGTCTGATGGGAGGATCTGGGAAGATGTGTGTCTTTGAGCTGCTTTCCTGCTTTTCTGTCCCAGGCATGTGGGACATCAGTGGGAATTCTGTTATCTGTTGTTGCTTTTTTAGTGTTTTTTCCCTACTTTGAGCCACCAAGCAATTCGATCAGCCTGGGTTATTGCCCATTTCCCCTGTTACATTCAAATTCAGAAGCCGTGATTACCATCTTAATTTTCACCACCAGAGCATGTGATATTTTATATCAGAAGGAATTTCCTGTAAAATGAAGTTCTGATAACAGAAAGTTGCATTAGTGGTGGAGATGAAAACTAATCCCTATCGCTGAGGCTGCTGTCGCCCGGCCTACACGGAGATAAGACAAAACCATCCAGAAAACAAATGCATCTTTTTGTAACCCACACTTCATTTTTACGGCGTTATTAAATTCCCTTGGAAGGCTTTCAGCAGAATTGGTTATTGAATTCAAAAGCCTGGCAGCCAGAGTATTTTTCCACATACGTTTTGATCTGATCTATTTATCTGATTGTTTCAGATGTGATGCACGAGCACTGGCTCCCAGTGCCAGCAGAGTTCCAGCAGCTCCAACTGATCACGTTTGGCTCTCTGGCTTCATTCCCTGTGGAGCCTCCAGCAGGTACCGTGCTGGAGTTGGGAGTCCTCTCAATAAAACTCCTGCTTTGTGAATGATTTCATCCAGGGAGAGCCACGGTGTCCGGACTGTAAGTGACCCACAGATTGGATTGTTCCTCCTCAGTAGGAAAGGCCAGGGAGGAGTTAGGAATGCAAGACATGGGAATTGGCTCTTGCCCTTCAGCTAAATGGTTTATTTTGAAATGTCTCAAACTTCATTTCCCTCCGCAGCCTTCGCTGGCCGTTCATTTTCTGGGATGAACTCTGTGATTTCCATGGCTGTGAAGCTTTGTCACCTCTGGTTTTCTCGTCCCCTCCAAAAAGCCCCAGGTGAAACCAGACTTGGATACTCCTTGTTCCTTACAGTTTCCAGAGGATTAATGTTTTTGAGCCTCAGTCTGGTCAGGACTTGCTTGCCTGGGGAGGGGGGGTTCTGTTTCCAGGTGCTTTTTCCATTTGAGCACAGAGCTCAGGTTTTACAGCCTCATTCCATTGCTCTGTGATGGGTTTGGCTTTTGATCCAGGGTTTCAGGCAATGGGAACAGGGCCATGGATTGAAACAAGGACAGGGTTCCTCTGCTCTCCCAGCGTGCTGCCCTGGAATGTGGAGTGACTGCCTGTACTCTGACACATGGAAAATCCATCCATCTCCTGCAAAAAAGGTTGCTCCAAGTTTTTCATCCCTGCTACCAATTTCTCACTGTTTTTCTTAACTTTCTCCCTCCTAACAAAGGGAAAATCTGGGATAGTTTTTCCTGCTGGGTGAATTCTCTTGGTGGAAGTCTTCCCTGTTATTTTTCTGGGATTCCCTTTGATACAGGTGTGCCTGGGTGGGCCACACAGCAGAAGTCTGGATATTTAACATTCTTCCTGAGTGCTGTAATCTCAGGACCCAGCAGTGCAGAGCCAGGAGCTGCTGGGTTTGTTCTCTCTTGAGGAGGATCAGCTCCCAGCAGACACCCTGAATTATTTGACCTTTTGTCTTTTCATTCTTTTTCCTATCAAATAATTCTCCCGTTTGTCATCTTTATGTTGTGGCTGATGACACTGGAAATGGTTCAGCTGTAAAATGAGCCTCTCATTTAAACAGGATCACCTCGGCTCTGCCAACCAACCTTGTCAGGTCTCCTCCACCGAGGAAGCTCCAGGCATTGTCATCTCATATCACCTCTTGCTCTTGCTCATTTCCCAGACAACCAAGTCCATTTGTCCTGTTACATTTTGTGCTGTAAAGGTACGTGCTGGGTTATTTGAGGTCAACAACAGCTCTCCACACCTTAATGAGGCCAGAAATTTTTAAAGCACATCTGAAGTGCTTGAGTGTTCACCTCATTCACACCTGTCTCTGCTCCCAGACACCATTTCAGTCCTCTGCTAATCCAGTTCCTCCCATCTCCTTCCCATGGCCCAAGCACAGGTTCTGTGATGGATGGGGAGGTGCAGAGTGAAGAGCAGCTGTAGAGTTTCATGGAAGTTTTCCTCTATGATGGAGCTGGCAGACTGAAGTTTCTCCTTTCTCCCTTGGCTGTGCAGGTGAAACAACACTGATGTGAATCACAAATTGACTCAGCTCTCAGCTGATGCTGTTTTTTGGGCTCCTCTGCCTGGTCCCAAGCTTTCACCTTCACTGCCAGAGAAACGTCAAGGGCTGTGTGGGGATCTGTGGCAGGGAGAGGAACAGTCTCAAGTCCCAGTCCTGGCCCAAGACACCACCCAAGTTTTGCTTGCTGGTGAAAACCACCCACTCCCATCCTGCACTGCCCAGGGGGACCATCCTCATCCTCCCTCCTCCATGCAGTCACCACTGCTCTCTTAATGGCTTGGTCATGCTCTCCTCATCTCCATCTGAAATGCTCTTTAAACCTAAAACAAAAATGATTAGGCAGGCTTAGGAAACGGCACAAGCTTCAAAGGATTAAATGCTAACACTTCCTGCTACCCTTGGAGAGATCAAACACTCTGTGCTGTTCGCCCTGCAGCGGCAGAAAACGGCACTAAATCTTCCCCTGCAATCAGGGGATTTCGGGATTGCGTGTGCGGAGGAGCAGGAGGCTGAGTTATGAGGAAAGATTAAAATGACAAAATATATATATCTTGGCCGAGCCACTGCTAAGAAACAGTGTGACAACAACGTGACACCCATGTGCACGGACCTGAAGGGCACAGAGAACACAGGGAGGTGGAAAAGTTTGGGGTGAACGTGGGGTGATGGTAGAAATGACCTGAAATGTGGAGGTGGTGTTGGAGGCAGGAGGCCTGAGCACCATCGCCCCTGGCTCACAAGTCATTCCCATCCACTGATTCCCATCCCTGCCGTCCTGGGACTTAAACATCAGCGAAATCACTGCGAGTGAAACCACTGCTACCTGTTTTGTTAAAACACACCCATTTTGGTGAAGTAAAACCAAGGAGAAGTTCAGGATATGGCTCTTTTTTGGGGAAGTGCTAAATTAAGGGCCAGAGACCACTCTGGAAATTTGGGAGTGGACACATATATACACAGCTTTTCCACTGATAATAAAGGCAAAGCCCACAGGAAGCATAAAACCAAGGAGAAGTTCAGGATATGGTTGTTTTTGGGAAGTGCTGAATTAAGGATCACCCTGGAAATTTGGAGATGGACACACACACACACACAGCTCTCCCACTGATAATGAAGGAAGCATGAAAGTAACTACGAGTTCAGGACATGGTTATTTTCTGGGAAATGCTGAATTAGGGGCCAGAGACCACTGCAAATTTGGGGATGGACACACACACAGAGCTCTCCCATCGATAACAAAGGCAAAGCCCACAAAGAGCACTGGAGAGGAGCGGCTCCATCCCCTCTTGAGGGCCCCGCCAGCGGAGACATTTAAAGCCATAAAAGATTTTTTTTTTCCTGAGCCAGCGACGGCCGTTTAACCCTAAAAAAGAGGGGTTTTTTCCAGACCGAGCACTAAAAAACACTAAAACACTAAAAAAAAAAAAAAAGTGTGTTTTTCCTGGCCGAGCCCCGTCCGGCGGGGCCCGGCCCCTCCTCGGCGCCTGACGCCTCCCCCGGCCGGGCGGCCATGGCGGCTCGGCGGCGCTGAGCGGGGCGATGGCCATGGCGGGGCCCGGCGCGGCCCCTCCGCGCCTGGCGCTGGCCCTCGCCGCCCTCGCCGCGCTGGTCGCCGTCAAGTACTACCGGGACGCGGAGGCGGCGCGGCGGCAGGTACCGGGCACGGGGCGGCGCCGGGGCCGGGAGGGGACACGGAGGGATGAGGGGATGGATGGAATGGGGCGGGGGGGGGGGGGGGGGGGGGGGGCGGGCGCGATCGCGCCGCCGCCCCGCCGAGCGTGAGGGGGGAGGCGGCGGCCGCGGGGCTGAGGGGGCCGAGCACCGCACATCGGTGGCCAGCGGGGCTGAGGTGGCCGCCGCCGGGCTCAGGGGACCATCGGGAGTTGGTGGCCACCGGCGGTGAGGTGGCCGTGGTCAGGCTGGAGGCACCTCCAGCCATCAGTGGTCACTGGGGTTGAGGTGAATGCCAGGCATCAAATGGCCACTGGGGTTGAGATGGCCACCACTGGGGCTGAGGGGAGCACCAGGAGTTGGTGGCCACGGGGGTTGAGGTGGCTGTGGCCCGACTGAGGTGACCGCCAAGCATTGGTGGCCAGCAGTGTTGGGTTGGACACTGGCCTTGAGGTGGCCATGGCCAGGCTGAGGTGATGTCTGCCAGTTTAAGTGGCCGCCAGGGGTTGAGGCGGCTGCTGCTGGGCTGAGGAGACCACCACACCTAAGGTTGCCACTGGGGTTGGGGTGGCTGTGGCCAGGCTGAGGGTGCCACTGGGGTTGGGGTAGCCACAGGGGCTGAGATCCTGCCACCAGGGTGAGGTGACTGCCACACATCAGTGGCTGCTGGGTTGAAGTGACCACAGAGCTGCGGTGGCTGCTGGCGTTGAGGTGGCCACAGGGCACCAGTGGCTTCTGGGGTTGAAGTGGCCACTGCCAGGCCGTGGTGACCACAAAACCATAGCAGGCACTACTCAGTTGTGGGGACAATCAGGTATCAGCAGCTGCAGAGCTTAACATGGCCACTGCCAGGCTGAAGTGGCCACCATTGAGCTGTGGTACCACACACCAGTGGACATGGGGCTTGAGGTGGCCACTACCAGATTTCTGCAGAGCTGTGGTGGCCAACTGGGCTTGAGGCGACCACAGGGATTGTGGTGGCCACCACCAGGCTGAAACCACCACGGAGCTGTGGTGGCCACCAGGCTCCAGCAGTGACCAGTGAGACCAGCTGCCCCCTGGAAGGAGGAGGAAGAGCAGGAGCAGCAGCACCTCCTGTGCTGCGGGCTCTGAAGGATACTGCAGAAGCAGCAAAAAAACAGGGGATGAAAACAGGAACAGGTTTTTTGGTTTTTTGTGTGCGTTTGTTGGGGTTTTTTTTATTTGAAATTAGGCTGATTGACTGGTTTTGATTGTAATCCCCATGATTCCAAGGGCTGTGCCGTGCTTTGGAGAACACCTTTGTTGAAGATGGTGCTCCCCTGGCTCTGCGCTTCGTCTGTGAACATCTGAGAAGGTTCTGGGAAAAGAGCAGGCTTCCCCTTCTTGATATTTCTGTAGTACAAGGAGAAGTGTTTTTAAAGGATGTTTTTAAAGGATGCCTCTTTTCTTTGTGTCTTCTTGCGTTGCAAAAAGGGAAAAGTGGTTCAAACCAGTTAATTAGAAGAATCTTTCCTTCAAGGACGGAAGGGTGAGGACAGTCCTCACAGCCTGACACAAGCCAGGTCTTCTGGAGGTTTGTGTTTTTCCAGAGGACAGGCAGACAGCTGTCACTGGGTCCTGCTGGAGAGGAGAACAAAATGTGAACAGCCCAAGGGTTTCATTTTTTTCTTCCTCTTGCTTCAAACATATGTCTTGTCTCTTTCTGTGGAAATGTTTGTTTAGCTAAGCAACCCACAAGCAGGTGGGAGAGGAAAACTCTTTGTGAAAAACCACAACTCTCCCTCTACAGAAAGACTGAAAAAGCTCGGTCTTACCCCTCTGGCACAAACAGGGGAACTTTGTGTTTCTTATAATCCCAGATTAGAAAGAAAAAGGAAAAAAACCCACAAGCTGTGAGAGCTTTCTTTCATGTGAATGTTATCAGAAAGCAGAAGGCCGAGCCCTGACATCTCTCTCCCCTTTTAAACATCATTTTCATCGTCCCTCGTGGCCGAGTGCAGCAGGACTGGTGTGTTCTCCGTGGAAACCTTTGTTCCTCCGTGGTTGGGGTCTTCTCTCCAGCCAGGTGGGCACTCCTGGGGTCCTGCTGGTGGTTTGTCACTTCTTAACCCGTGTGTCAGTGCAGCTGAGGGATGTGACCGTGCTTTCAGCACTGTCTGAACATTGATTTTTGGATGCTCTTATCCAACGCCTGCGTTCCCACTTCACGTCCTGCTGTGTTGGCTGCAGCCAGAGATGTTCCTGTGGGGTGCAGCTGCTTCTCCTCCTGCCTCCAGCCCTGCTCAGTAAGGGATGATGATTTCTCCCCATGCTCCAGCAGCAGGCAGAGTCCAACCGGATGAAAGCCAGGAGAAGTCCTGGAGCCTGGCACAAGGCTTTGTGTTGTGATCCTGGCACCTGGCTGACAGGGCAGGTGCTCAGGAGAACATTCCCCATTTACAGGGCCAAGGATGCACATCCCCATTCATTCTGGGAACAGAAGCACAGTTTTAGCCCCAGGAGTGTGGGCAGCCCACAGTGAATTGTTCCTGTGCACAAATAACCATCTTGTTCCTTCATTTTTTCACCTGTGTAGCCCCTGCACTCTCCCCTCCTTGTCTTTCCTCAGCCATGCCCACATCCAGATCTCCAGTTTGTATTCCAGGGTCTTTATTTCTCTCTGTCTCAGGCCTGGAACTGCCCTGGAAGGCTCGTAAGTGCTTTTGTTGCTGCAGTTGATGGGAGCAAAGCCTTCCAGGCTGCATTAGTGCTGCTTCAGGCTGGCAGGCAACAGATGGAAAATAAACTCGTTCAGGAGCTCTGGGGATGGTGGTGGTGCTGCAGGCAATGGAGAACAGCAGAATACAGAGGATTTGTGCTCACAGCTCCAGGTCTTTCCAGAGGGGTGTCAGGGGAAGCTGCCCCAAGTGATGGATCACAGGGGATGTGCCGAGGGCTGGCAGTGAGGGGATTGTCTCACTTGCCCCATATCTCTCCCTTCTCTCACAGCAACGTGGAGCTCTTCTGTTGTGCCTCCAAGTTTTCCCTTTCCCTGCAGGGCTGAGACTGTGGAGTGGAAATAACTGGAAGCATCCAGAGCCCTTCTGGGGCTGTTCCAAGGGAGACATCACCTTTTCAGCTGTGCTTCCCACTGGGTCTCCTTGTGGGCTTTGCAGAAGGAAAAACTGAGGCACAGGGTGGCTGGAATCTTGTGGGGCTTTCTGGAGAGGACCGTGGGGTTTGTGGCTCCCTGATGGATGGCTGAGGGAACAGGGAGCCAAAATGCTCCATCCAGCTGGATGACCAGAGCAGGGCAGTTGTGGGCAGTAATGCTGGCTTGGATCTCATGAGTTCCAAGGGCTCAGCTCATTCCCTTTGTGTTTCTGTGATGTGGATACTCATGAATTTGACTGCCTTTGTTTCACTACCCATCAGTTCATTCCAGCAATCACCATCTCCAGGTGCTCTGAATATCTACAGGTTTAGGACTCACTAGCTGGAAAAAGTGGGAAATGTGTCTGACAAAAGATTTTTAATCTGACTCTGAGCAAATGGTTCAGTTTGAATTACTCAGCCAGATGCAGTTTTAATATTCTCATGCCAACAGTTCCTGGACACTGATCCCAACTGTAAATAGCACAAAATCCTGCCAAGGGGTGTTAATCTTTCCCCTGGATGGTGTTTGTGTGCTGGGAAGAATGCAGATTAACTCCGGGGCTGAGAGGGGCCAGAGCAGATTTCTACAAGAGATTGGGATGAAATCTCACTTGCCTCTTCTTCCCAAACTAGGAGCTGGCTTTGAAGTCCTTGGGAAATGAGGGGCTGTTCCTCTTTTCATCTCTGGACACAAACAATGACCTGTACCTCAGCCCAGAGGAGTTCAAGCCAATAGCTGAGAAGCTGACAGGTAGGTACCTGTGTGCCTTCCAGAGCTCTCCCTGCACAGACCAAGCAAAAACCAAAGATAATGCACTCTACAGGTTTTATTCACCTAATATTTCATTCACTTTATTATTTTCTGGGCGCTGTTTTGGGTCTTATTTACATGAAGAGAGGCTGCAAAGCTTTACATGTTTTTGGAAAGGCTTAAGCCCTAGACATCACTTTCACAAAGTAGAGTTTTTATAAGGTGGAGGATCCCATTGCTGGACTAGCAAAGTACATAAGTTACTTTGTCTGGAGCTTAAAGGGGATTTGGGATGGGTGAATGCAACAAATACAGCTCAGCCCAGGCTGGGCCAGAACTATTAGTGAGTCCCAGCGTTCCATTCATCCGCTCCCCCGGCTGGGGTGGCCTCTCTTGGATGGCACTTGTGGGAGATCATGTTTGGAGACCATATCAGTGCACAGCAAATGTCTCTGCTGGTGCCAAGCAGGGAGAAGTGTGGGGATGATGATGATGCACAGTGGAGCTCCCAGTGCAGTGGAAGCACACAGACAGTGTTTGCTTGTGCTGTCATGGATTGGCTCCAGCGCGTTGGGATCGCTCCGAGGTGTGGGGAACCTTCCTGGCTGAGCTGTGGGGTTTGGAGTCATGGAAACATGGATTCCCTGACAGGTTTGGGTTGGAATGGACCTTAAAGCTCACCCAGTTCCAGCCCCCTGTCATGGGCAGGGACACCTTCCACCAGCCCAGGTTGCTCCAAACCCCATCCAACCTGGCCTTGGACACTTCCAGGGATCCAGGGGCAGCCACAGCTTCTCTGGACAACCTGTGCCAGGGCCTCCCCACCCTCACAGGGAAGATTTCCTTCCCCATATCCAATCTAAACCCACTCTCTGTCAGTTTAAAGCCACCGAGTTGGCTGCTAAAAGGAGGACTCCCCTTTAATTCTTGCAGCCAAAACTGTCTCTGGGGTGGGTCTGAGTTCTGCTGCATAGGGACAGCTGGGAAACTCCCAGTGCTCCTGGATTTGCTGGGATAAATGTGTAATCACTTCACAATTGCTTTAAAAGGGGAGGGAGGGGAAACAGCTGCTTAAATTCCTGTCCTTTTGTCTAGGGGTTGCTCCCATCTCAGAATTTGAAGAGGAGGAGACGCCTGATCCAAGCGGGGAGACTCTGTCCATTGTGGCAAAATTCCAGCCTTTGGTCATGGAAACAATGACGAAGAGCAAGGATGGTTTCCTGGGAGTAGGTGTCATGCAGGATGTGTATGGCCACAAATTCTGGAATAAATATGGCCACAAATTCTGGAATAAACACGTCCAGTGGGCTGGTAGCATCACCGGGAATGTGTGCTGGAGCGTTAGGAGGGGGACATAGTCCTGCTGAAGCCTTTGGGATTTGATGTGATGAGGAAACTCTCTGCTTCCTGCAGCATTTCAGTGTTTTCAGCACACTCAGCAGCACCATGCCCCAGTTAAGACACCCTTCCTGGGAAGCTGGGAGTAGGAATTAGACGTGGCTCTCCTGGAGCTAATTCCAGGAGCAGTGGTGTTAGATGGCACCTTCCCCTCTCCTCTATTACTCACATTCTTGAAAGCTGACAGAACTGTTTGGGTTGGTCAGAAGAATTTAGAATGTGATATATATTTTTCCCCCTTTTCTAAAGCCTCCTTACATCCATGAAGGGTCCAGTCTGGGCTCTGATAGTGTCTTTTGTTCACAGATTTCTCACGTTGCTCTCTCTGGGCTGAGGAACTGGACGGCCCCAGCAGCCCCTATGAGTGTGCTGCTTGCCAGGCAGTTTAAAGCCTTCCTTCCTCCAAAGAATAAACTGGACCTCGGGGATCCGTGGTGGATAATTCCTAGTGAACTGAACATCTTCACTGGGTATCTTTCCAACAACAGATTTTATCCTCCACCTCCCAAGGGCAAAGAGGTGAGAGATGCAACTCAGTTTCTATATACCCGAGATGTAGTTGGTGGAAATGTTCTGCTTCGTAGCCCAGATGAATCACAGGAATGCCCAGAGGGACAAGGCTGTTGTTATGTGTCTCCCTGGGTTTTCTAAGGAAGCAGAAAGCCAGGAGCACCATCTCCTAGGCTGGAGGTAAAACTGAGAGCAGGCAAGATGAGGCTGACCTGAGTAACTTCATCTTGCTTTGTTAATCCTGTGGGATTTTAGGATGGTTTTTCCCAGAGGGGGTTATCCAGAGAGCAGCTGTGTGATGTGATCATTCCTTGTGGAGCAGTGGCCAAGTGCTACCCCAGAGGGGAACACTTTGGTTGACAAGTGAAAAACACTGTGTGTACACAGCAGGTAAAGCCAGGCATGAGCATCACCCTCCCCTGGGTGCCCAGGCAGATGTCAGGGATCACTGAGCTGATGCACCTTCACAGCCTGCTGTGATTATTGATTGCACACCCACTCCTTCAAAATCTGAAACCCTATGGATGGAGGCAGCCTCATAGATCAGTTTACTGTCCTGACTGGGATGATGGAAACTTGCAAACAATGGCAATAGCGTAGAAACCCTGGAAGATGGATTTATTTTTAAAAGCCATCCCTTGCTTTATCTCCTTGGTTTGGGAATAGGTTGGTCTCTGAGCTAGTTTTGAAGTCACAGCCATTCTCTCGCCTTCCTGCTCTGGTGGGGAGTTGCTTTGGAGCTGCAAACCTGCGTGGAGGAGCTGTCCTCATTCTTGCTCTCCTGCAATTGCTTCTCCAGGTCATAATCCACAAGCTTTTGAGCATGTTCCACCCCCGGCCCTTCGTGAAGACCCGCTTTGCCCCCCAGGGGGCCGTGGCCTGTATCCAAGCCATCAGCAGCTTCTACTACACCATAGCATTCCGGTGGGTCCAGGGGGCTTGAGGGGGGGCTTGGGGCCACTTGTGAGTTTGTCCCATATCCCAGGGGAGTGGAGAAGGCTGCTGTGAGCCCGTGGCAGACAGCACACATGCTGCCTGTGCAAGGCCAGGTGTGTTCTGGCTGGGAGGGAGGGGAAGTGTCAAGGAAGAGGGGGGTTCACAGCCAGCTCTTGCTCCCAGTGTCACTGTGTCCCTGGTGAGGCAGGGACTGTTCCCACATGCAGGACAGCAGCCATTCTCCATCACCCTTGGAGCTGTTCTGGCTGAAAGGGGAGAGTCTGATTAGCAAGAAATTTGCTAGATTTTGGTTAATCAGGAGGTGGGCTGTCTTTGCGAGGGGGAGAGTCTGGGGAATTATTCACTTGTTTTATTGGGAGTGTTACAGCTTTTATTTGCCTGATCAAGCTGGAAGGGAGGCTGAAGAGGTTTTGTTCTGTGCTTGTGTTTCAAGAAATGATGATGTAATTTGTCCTCCTGGATGGACACTTAGTGCCCAATTCCAAAAGGCATCAATACTGGAGACGTTCCTGACCCCAAGGATCTTCTCCAGTCTTTTACTCGCTTAATTGTGTGACATGAAAAGCTTTTTGAATTCCACCTCTCTGCCCCAGTTTAGGTTCATAATTTCTGGTGCCTGGAGACAGCTTTTCCCTGCTGTCATGTGCAGCACATGATCCTTTCTCTCCCTTGAGAACTGCAGCTGACGGCTCCTTTCACTTTTCAGGATCCACGCCGAGTTCCAGCTGAACGAGCCACCAGATTTCCCCTTCTGGTTTTCCCCAGGCCAATTCACAGGTCACATCATCCTCTCCAAGGACTCTTCCCATGTCCGAGAGTTTAAGCTCTTTGTCCCTAACAACAGGTACAGCTGTTTCTCCCTCCCCCTGGGTGCTGAACAGGCTTGAGGGTTGTTACAGACAAGGCCCAGCTGGAATCCAGGGGCTCTGCGTGCATGGGGGGGCTGGTGGGCTCTGTTTAGGTGAAGGTACAAGTGCAGTGACAGCCCTGTCCCCTGTGGGCATCCTGGAAGTGCAGGGAAGGCAGAGCTGCAGCCTGAGCTTTGGCCAGGCTGGTTCTGCTGTTTCCTCATCTGCTTTCCCCACACGTCCTTCCCTGCCAGCGGCCGGCACGGTCATCGTGTCCTCAATTCTCCAGTTGCTCCCTAAACCGGTTCTGATGCAATTTTTCAGGAATAGCTTTGTTTATCAACAGGTCCAGGGGGCGTCTGGCTTGGGAGAGGCAGGGAAGGACAAGGATGGAGGGGGGGGACAGGAGAGAAGCAGGGCACAGGCTGCTGGGGACGTGGAGCACAGGGTTGGGAGTAGTTGTCCTTGCACAGCCTGAATGCAACTGGCACCTGCTGCAGCTGAGTGTCCAAACCCAAGCTATCCTGTGCCAAACCACTTTGGAAGGAGGTACCTGCAGGCACGTGGGAAGACAAATGCTGAAGTTGTCCTGCTGTTGCCCTAGACAGGCAGCAGCCTCCTCATTAGTAGCACTGCTGCAAGCACTGCTCCTGTCCCAGCACTCCCTGGCTGTGGCAGGGGCTCCCACGGCTGTCAGAAGCTGTTGGAAGCTGCAGAAGCTCCTTTTGTGTCTGTGATCACAGAATCATAGAATGGTTTGGTTGGAAGGGACCTTGAAATCATCACCCCCAAGTTCCAACCCCCTGCCATGGGCAGGGACACCTTCCACTAGAACAGGTTGCTCCAAGGCCCATCCAGCCTGGTCTTGAATGCTTCCAGGGATGGGGCAGCCACATCTGTCTGTGGTGGATGAGCCCATGCTGTTTTGAGCCAAGTTCCTGGAAAAGGAGTAATTTGAGCTCTGCAGTTGCCTGTAAATGCATCTCCTCTAGTCACTGAGCATCCCTGACACGTTCCAGGGTCTGATTCACTCACCAGTAACTGTCCCTTGGTACTTGGGGGATGAGGAGGGTGTGGAAAGCAGCCCTAGGCACAGTCCCAGTGCCTGGCTTCAACCACTGAAGTTAAGCAAGGCCCAATGCTCCTGCTTCAACATATTTTTTGCTTGGAGTCTCACAGGTTAAGGTTTTGTGTGCATAGCTTTGCACTATAGCTCATTGCTGCTCTCCTGGCAAGGAGCTGGAAGTGTTTCAGGGGAGAAAAGCTTCAAATCTCTTTGCCCATGACGTGTGGAGTGAAAATTCTATTATAACATTACCCTGGCGACTCAACCCCAGTGGCTCTGTCAGCACATTTCTTACCGCGAGCAGACACTCGGGGCTCTGCCAGCAGCTCCTTGCAAAAGCCTTTCGCTTCCAAAAAAACACTTTTAAAAGTTCAGCAGGATTAGAATGTGCGAATTAAGTGCTGGGAAGGAAGAGGGAGCAAAGACATCTCTCTCTTCTGTAATTTGACAGAGCTCAGAGGTGTGAGGGCGTTTTCCCAGGGTGCTGAGTGGGTGCCTGGGCCCTGATCCAGCAGGGATCTGGTGTTGCTGGTCTGGTGGAGGGAACACGGTGATCTCCAAGGAGCCAGAGCCTCCAGGCTCCAGTGCTGACCCTGCAAGAGGAGCGTTGGATGTTGCCTTTTTTTGGGGGGGGGTTTCCCACACGCAGCTTTAGCCTTGGGTTATGGACATGCTGGGTTCCCCTTGCAGGTCTCTGAACGTGGACATGGAGTGGCTGTACGGGGCGAGCGAGAGCAGCAACATGGAAGTGGATATTGGATACCTGCCTCAGGTGTGTGGTCACTCCCAGTCCTCCATCCATGGGCAGCAGCTCCGCAGGGATTTGTGCTGTGGTGGCCCCAAGCTGTATCACATCCATTATCCTTGATCTTTAGAGCCTTCTCCTTGAGTCTTGCAATATAACTTCCACTGGTCTGTGTATATCCTCTGTGTGGCTCCCTACTACCAGCTTTTGTGATATATTCTTTTTTCCCTCCGTGTGGGTTGAATCCTAAGCTCCTGGAGTCATGTGACTTTTTCCTTTTTTAAAACATCATCTGACAGGCAGGAGGGGAAGATGAGGAGGTGAGCTTATGAACGACAGTGGGTCTGAATTTAGAAACTGCATGAGGTTATTCCTCTGTTTTGTGGTAATCCTGGCTCTTGGGACAGGAAACATAAGTCAGGGTTTTGAATGCCTGAATTTAACAGCCCCGTTTTCTCCTCAACTAGGTCCATGTTTATTTTTAATTGCCAAAAGACAGGAAAACAGACTTAAAATCGTTTCAGCTGTACTGGAACAGAGGCACAGGGAAGCTCCTGATCAGCTTTCCCTCTTGCACCCTCTTGTGGCTTCCCAGGGCTCTGTAAGGGCTGAGCTGGTGATGGAAGCAAGAGCTTTCCATTAGCCCTACAGGTCCTGATGATTTTAAGGATCTAGTGTCCCACAGTTAAAAATCTCCACTGGGAAGGTGGGAACATGGAGTCCTATGCATTTCCAACCTGGCAAGCACAGCCAAGCAACAGCTGAAGGAAATAAAGTTGCTCTCTTGGTATATCCCCCACATCTGCAGCTGGTAAAGTGCAGCTCCAGGAGACAGGAGATCAAACTATACCTTCATTAGCAGCTGCACAGTCTTATTTTGGATCTTCATCCTGTCCTGGAGTACAGAAAGACCAGGATTGGGGTGTCTGCAGTGTCCAACTCAGCCTGTTCTCCTGCAGATGGAGCTGGAATCGACAGGGCCCTCAATCCCCTCCGTGATCCATGATGAGAATGGAAACATCATCGACGGCAGGGACCCCTCAGGGGAGCCCATCCAGTTTGTGTTTGAAGAGATAACCTGGCAGCAGGAAATCCCTTGGGAAGAGGCAGCCCAGAAGCTGGAAGTGGCCATGTATCCATTTAAGAAGGTGAGGAAGGGGCCGGGCTCTTCCTTGGCACGTTTATTTGAGGCAGGTTGTCTTCACTGATACATCCAGTCACCTCGAGAACAAGCAGAAAGCAGAGCCCACAGACATGAGCAGCATTCAGAGCAGTGTGAGAGTCTCCAGCTCAACGTGTGCCTCCAGGCACTGCATGCACGGCTTGATGGGCTTCAGCTTCCAGATGAAGGAGTGCAGCATCTCTGAAAGGGCATTTGGGGTCACAGGGCAGCACAGGCAGGAGCAAAGCCTTCATGTCAGGTGTCCCAGGCTTGTCTTGTAAGCAGAGGCTCATCCTTCCTGCCTCTTATCAGTGGCTGCTGCTGTGATGCCTGAGGAGGTTCGTGCTCCTTACAAATGATTTTCCCCTGGCATTACTTTTGCAGCATTCAGGTACCTTTGGACCAAGCTTTCCTTATCAGCAGAGAACACACAATCTGCCTGTGCCTCTGCATCCTGCAGTGAGACACAAATTTATAGCTCTGGGTGACCCAAACTATTTAACATGCCAGCAGCCTGTGGAGCAGATGGCTACTGCCTGTCACCGCTTCCTTGGCTGAAGGGACACGTTTCAGTGGCTGCTTCCTTGTGCCTGAGCTTACAAATGTCCCTTCTTGCTGCCAAGATGTTAATATCAGTTCCTTTCATTTGAGTGATTGGAACAATCTCTGTGCAGGGTCAGTTTTTAGGCTGTTTCAGTGAGGTTTTGTAAATAAATATCTCGAGGCCAGATTTCCTGGGCAGCTGAGGTGGGGTTGCAGATGCTTTGTGCAGTCAGTAAAATCAGGGCTCTGCAGGTGCCAGTGAGGGATCACAGTCTGGTTCCTTCAGACCTGCTCCTCTTTGGGCTGGGCAGTTCTGTGTCTGTTCCTCACGCTGTCTCTCTGCCTCCAGATCTCCTACCTGCCCTTCACAGAAGCTTTTGAGAGAGCAAAAGCAGAGAAGAAGCTGGTGCACTCCATCCTGCTGTGGGGGGCCCTGGATGACCAGTCCTGCTGAGGTGAGGGCATTCCCAGCCTGGCTGGGAGGGATGATGTGCCTTGTTTGGGCTCCGAGGAGAGCTGGGGGTCAGGGAGCTGGTCATGAGCCAGCAGTAAATGTTCTGTTACTCTTTTTGGCACTGAAGATGCTGAAGAGACAAAGGCTGGAAATGGGGAATTGCTGATATGAGCTTAGTTCCCCAATGGCAGGATCAGATCTGTCTGAGACAAGCCGCAGACCAATGTGTGAGTCAAGTGCCTTTGTCAAGGTGGAGACATGGATCTTCCCCCTTTCTCTTCCCCTCTCAGCCTGCTAGGGAAGAGGCAGCACTGGCAGGGTGAAAGGGACACTGCTCTCTGCTTCAGCCCTGGCACCTTCACAGGACAAGCCAGAGTCAGATGTGTGGGCTTGGCATTGTCCTGATATACAGCTTTTCCCCCCACCAGTGCCTAAGAACTTCCATGCCACGTTGGGCAGGAGGGATGGATGGGAGGGGATGGGTATCTTTAGTTCTGTCTGCCCTTAAATACTCTCCAGCACTGGGCTCTGCTTGGCACGAGGAGCGAGTGGCACTCGGGGGGATCCGCAGGGATCGGTGGCAGACTTTGGCTTGGGGTCTGCTCTGGTGAACCTTCTCTGCCAGCAGCACCTGCAGGAAACAAAAGCAGTGGAAAACTGCCAACAAGGGAAGGAAAAAGACAATGGGAAGGGCTGGGGGGGAGCCAGAGTCAGCTGCCACACCAACCAGAGCGGTGGCATCAGGGTGGCATCGAACGTGGTGACATCACCTCAGGAAACACATCAAACCCCTCTGTGCCTCTTCCCACGCCAGGTTCGGGGCGAACTCTCCGGGAGACCGTCCTGGAAAGTTCGCCCATCCTCGCCCTGCTCAACGAGAGCTTCATCAGCAGCTGGTCCCTGGTGAAGGAGCTGGAGGAGCTGCAGGTGAGGCTCACACCACACCTGCCACCTTTGCTGGTGCTGGGGAGCGCAGATGGGGCTTGGCACAGGGGTGCCAGGGGAGGGGGAGCTCATACCTCTGCCAGGGGGGTGGATTTGGGTGTCCAACCCTCTGTGTCTGAGCCCCTGCAGGGGCCAAGCAGACACCAGATGGAGGCAGCCTAAGAAATGGCACAGTGACCCCCTTGATTCTGTCCTGGTGCCAGTTTTAAAAGCTAAACCAGATGCTCCACTAGGACACAGCCCTGCCCAAGGCCACTGGTGCCATCAACCAGCTGACTTCTCTGCAACCCAGGGAGCAACCAAATAACTTTCTGAACCCTGAGTCTCCTGGTTGCACCATTCCCCACTTCTGAGCCCATCTCTGAGCCTATGCTGTCAGTCACAGAGCTGGAGACTCTGGAAAAGGCTGGGATCAGACTGTTGGTGTGCCTGGAAACCACCACTGATGGGGTGATTTTATTCTTTAAGGATAAAATTTACAGCTGAAATGTAAAAGGGAGACTGAGAGGGAATAGTAAAGCAAGTTGTGAGAATGGTACCAGTTACCACCACGCTGCAAAGCAGCTCTTCAGTCCCTCCCTCACATGCTCAGTGTACTCATGTGCTGTTCTGCCAGTTCTGGGCTCTGCAAACGTGTTTCTTTGGGGTGTCCCTACAGAGCAACAGAGAGAATGAGTTCTACAGCAAACTGGCTGACCTGCACCTGGAGAAATACAACTTCCCTGTGGAGATGATCATCTGCCTCCCCAACGGCACCGTGGTACAGTCAATACCCTTCAGCTGGGCTGGGCTCTTCCCACTAGAAACTGTTCTCTGCAGGGTCTCCCAGACCCTGGAGTGAGTGGCCACTGCCCCAGCCATTCCCTGGCCCCTCGAGCCGTTGCCCTTCATGGTGTGGTGCTCCCAGGGATGCTGTGGCAGACAGGCAGCAGCTCTACCCAGAAATCTGAAACAAATGTGTTTTTATTCAGAGACAGAGCAGCAGCAGGGCTGGAACAGACCTGAACCAAGTGTCTGCCTGCGATTCCTCGTTGTCCCTGGTTGGAGTCAGCGACCTTTGGGAGGCCACTGTAGCTTGTTTCCTGTGCCCATTGTCCTTTGTGCTCATCCTTTGGAGAAAATCTCCTTATCAGCACCTTCTAGCACATTTATCTTTCTCTTGATTCCCCAGATTTGTCATGGCAGATCAGCCATTAGCAGGTCCACACACTTTGGCTCTGCTGTGCTCCCCAGCAGCCCCCCCTTGGATTTGATGAACAACAGTTCCAGACACTTGGCAGCATGGTGCTGTCTGTGTCAGCTGCTGGGCTGGGCTGTCTGCAGGGGAGGATCCTGCCAGGGCTGGTCCAACTGTGCCCCTCACTGGGCAGATACCAGCTGGTCACACCTGCAGGGTCCCCCCACTGTCTCTTCATGGCTCCCCTGCAATGAGGCCACGGGCTGGGGACAAACCTCAGCTCAGCCTCTCTGTGGTCAGTGGCCACGTGTCCCCCTTTCCCAGCTCCATGGGGAGTGGGAAGAGTTTGAAGTTCAGGTGCTGGTTTTGCAGCTGTGTGGGCTGAGGGCTCACACCAGCATGGTCAGGATCTGTCTCCCCAGCCTTCACTCACAGCCAAATGATCTGAGCCTCCATGATTTTTCCCAAATCGCTTTCATCTTCTTCTTAACCTAAGCCAGGGGTCAGCACTTGGGGGAAGACAGACACTGTTGTCTTTCACACATCTTTCTCTGATTTTAAAATGCAAACCTGGATCCTGGTTCCTGAATTAGCATCTGCAAAGCATTAGAGATTCTGTAAGAGTTGTTACAGCCTTGTCACCTCTGTCCTGGCCAGAGGCCAAGGCAGCGGATGGGGAATTGTTCTGGCCCTTAAAGTTCCCTCTCATCTTTTTTCTATCCCAGATTCACCATATCAATGCCAACTACTTCCTGGACATTACTTCTATGAAGCCTGAAGATGTTGAAAGCAGCATCTTTAGTTTCTCAACCAATTTTGAAGACCCTTCAACTGCAACTTACCTCCAGTTCCTGAAGGAAGGACTGCAAAGAGCAAAACCATACCTGCAGACCTAAAAACAAAGGCACCTGAATGCCCCACAGACACAGCCAAAGACTTCAGAGATCTATTTTGGTTACAGCAACTCCTCCTCATCCTCATGCCAGACATTGATGTTAAGCTGCAAAGAGTCCCAGGGTGGGGCTTTGCTCTGGATGTTGGTTTGAGGCTGAGTTTCAAGTGATACCAGTTTACACAACCTGCCCTTTTGAGTTCAGGCGAATTTTACAGGAGTTAAAATACTTGAATACATTCTCAGTGCATATGCCTTGGTCTGCCACCCACCCTCATTTGTTTTTCCAGCTCCTGTTCAGACTCAGGAGCATCACCCAGATGTAACAGCATCACCCAGAAACCCTGATCTGCAGGACTGGACTGTTGCAGAATTGCCATTATGACCAAACACTCGTGGTGAGAACAGACTCCAGTGCCAGTGGGAAGCTCCCTCCTCCCACCTCTGTGCCAGTGCCATGGATGCCAGCTGCTGACAACAGCATTTATTGACAGTGACAACCAGTGTGTGATGGGACTGTAGCTGGGAATGTGCAGACAGGAACGTGGGGGGTTTGAACTGGAGGATGAGCTCTGGAGTGGCCTCCCAGGGCCTTGTGTGACCTGGTGGCAGGGGGGGTCTCACTCATCCAGGCTCTGTGCCCCTGAGGGAGGTGCTGAGCTTGACACAGGAACATTAGGAATGGAGACCAGGGCACTGGAGGTTTGGTGCAGCTCAGAGGTGTCAGGTGAGGATCAGTTTTGGGGGGCTGAGCCCCCCCAGTGCAGTCCCTGCACTCCAGGCTATGGGACACAGCAGTGAGGCAGTGCCCCCCGTTCATCCCAGGGCTCCCACCCTGCTGGCTTTGGGACCTTGGTTCTCCCAGTGTCCCCTCAGCAATGCCCTGTCTGTGTTTGCTTTGAGCTTCCAGGTCACCCTGGATGATAAAACCATGAAGTTCCCTTTGGGAACTGCCCTGAGAGCATTACCTGGTTGAGAACTGAGCAGTTCTAAAAGCCAGCAGTACTAAAAATATTTTCAGGAGATTTTTCCAAAGATGTTATTCAGACATAAAGCCTTTATCACTTATCTGAAACCACCCTGAGCAGTTGCTCCTACTCTCTGCCAATGCCTGGCTACAGAGTGAGCATAATTTTGTAATCTGGAGAAGGAAAAGTTAAATGAAACGGGTTTTAGGCATATTCCTACAGGTATGTGAGGAGAAAAAGCATCTTCAGTAGCTGCCTGCAGCCAGCTGGTGATGCTTTTTCTGCTCCCTGAAGCACAATTTTGTTGGACCAAATCAAAAGAGGTATTTTCATTCCTGGGCTCCAGGTCCAGGGAATATCCTGGGAGTGGGGATATCCTGACCCCACCCTGCCCCAGCCCTCCTGTCTGTATCCGAGCCTGGAGACTGAGCTTAGCTGGACCTCTGGGCTGAACCAGTGCCACTTCACTAATTGCTCTAGTGAGATTAATTACCCCGGGAAGTTTCTCAGTATTGGCTTTATAACTATGCATTAGCTCTGCACTTTCCTCCCACTCCGAGGGGCTGCAGTGGGACAGGCTGGGACTGGCAGTGCCGTGTTGGGACACTGAGCTCCTGCCACACCAACAGTCTCATTCCTTCGGGGGACTTTGATCCCTTCAGGGCTCCGAGGAAGCCTTTGGGATCCTACAAAGTACCTTGTTTTTTTACTCTCCTGAACCCCTGGGCTCCTGCAGCCACCTCTGAGCGCTCCCGGGAGAGCTCAGGAGAAGGGGGTCGGTCCGAGCAGCAGCAAAGGGAGCCCAAACAGCCGCCCCCAGCCTGGGGGGTCCAGGGGGTCCTGGATCCTGTTAACCTGCCAAACTGCTCCGTCGCTGCCCACCCGCTGCCGTGGGTGGGCTGTGGACGAGCAGCTGCCGCGCGAGGCTTTACTAATTCGTGCCAAGCCTTTGTGTCCTGTTTGTAAACCGCCCATGTACTCTGTAAATTCTCCGCAGGGTCCGCGATACCTCGGGGGGAGTGGGTTGGGTGGGATGGGTAGCTGGTGCTGTTTCCCCCCTTCCTTCCCTGCGCCTTGTGACGCCCTGGCCTGAAACCCACGGCGGGCCAGGGCCGATGTCGGCCGGGGAGGGCTCGGGGGGGAGCAGCCCCTGCGAGGGGCGGTGCCGGTGGGCGCGGGGGGGCCCTCGGGCCCGGCTGTAGCTGCACCGGTAAAACCATCCATCCCACCAGCCTCGGCCTCCTGCAGTCCGTCCTTCCGTCCGTCCTTCCCTCGGGGGTGTTGGGGAGCGGGGAGGGGGTCGGGCTGAGCCCGCACCGGGGATGTCCCAGCGCTGTCGCCCCGCACCAGGACCCCCCTCCCGGCCACCCCGCGATCCCGATCCCGGTCCTGGTGCCGGACCCGATCCCGGTCCCGGTCCCGGTCCCGATCCCGGTCCCGATCCCGATCCCGGTCCCGATCCCGATCCCGATCCCGGTCCCGATCCCAGTCCCGATCCCGATCCCGGTCCCGGTCCCGGTCCCGGCGCCTGCGCTGCGGCCCCGGAAGGGCGAGGGGCGGGTTCTGGTTCCGGGCGATGGCGGCGCAGGGCCCGGGAGCGGCGCTGGGAGCGGGGCCGGGCCGCGCCCACCCCCAGGTACGGCCGGGAGCGGGGCCGGGAGCGGGGCCGGGAGGCGATGGGGACCGGGGGGACTGGGGGGAGCCGGGCTGGGGCCGCCCCGGCGCTCCCGCAGCCCCTCGGTGTGTGTGTGTGTTGCAGTGAGACGCGGCGGGGGAGCGGGGTACGATGAGCCCCGGCAGCCGCAGGAGCCAGCGCTGAGCCCGCCCCGGCCGCGGACATGGACGCGGAGGCCGTAAGTGAAACGGGGCCGGGACACCGGGAATTGGCCCCGGGAACTGCCCCCCGGCACCTGCCCTCGGGCATCCACCCCCGGCATCTGCCACTGGCGCCTTTCCCTGGCACCAGCCCCCGGCAGCTGTTCCGGGCCACTGCCCCGACAACTGCCCCAGTGCCTGCCCCGGCACCTTCCCCCAGCCCCTGGCACCGACCCCAGCAACTGCCCTGGGAACTGCCCCCGGCACCAGCTCGGGCCACCAGCCCCGGCATTCACCCTGGCAGCTGCCCTGGCACCAGCCCCAGCAACTGCCCCAACACCCTCCCCAGCACCAGCCCCCTGCCAGAGATCAGTCCCAGCACTCACTGCACCCCCAGCTCAGAGGTGCAGTTTAAAACACACACTGGGAGTTTCAGATCTGGCTGCACAGAGCTCGGTGCAGTGTCACTGACTGCACAGTGACTGCCTGGGCTCGGTGTGCGGAACGAGCTCCGGCAATCAGTGAATTAATGGGTGTGTCGTGGCCCGAGCAATAAAAGCTGTTTGGATTCCCGTTTGTCCTGGTGGTATTTGCTGTCCAGAGCCTTGTGCTGCCTCCTGGCACAGGAGCCTGTGACAGCGTAAAATGGGCAGGGGGGAAGAGAACTTCACCTTTTGGGTCCAGTTCAGTGTCCAGAGATCACTGAAACATTTGCTGTCTCTGAAAACACCCACCAAGGCTGTTCTCCATGGCCCTTGGTTGGGAGTGGTGTGGAATAGATTTGTCACTTTGCTGTCACCAAAGAAATGTTCAGTCTTATCCCAGAGTCCCAGAAGGGGTCGAGTTGGAAGAGACCACTGGAGGTCACTTGGTCCAACCCTTCCTGCTCAGGCAGGGTCTCCTAGAGCAAGTTCCTCAGGATCATGTCCAGGTGAATCTCTCCAGGGAAGGAGACTCCACAACCACTCTGAGCAACTTACCAGTGCTGCTCGTAGATTATGTGAAGGCAAGAGTGTCCCTTTAAATAAGTCTTTAGTTGATCTTATTTTCCTTCTGGGCCCGTGATGTGCCACTGTTTTCCTCCTTTTGCCAAGTTTTCATTTGTCACTCAGTGCCTGTTACTGAGTGGTTTTAGTTTGAAAATGCTACACCCATGTTCAAAATGCTCCTGTATCATATGACTTCGTGTATGTGAAGCTGAAACACAGTTTTATGGAATGGGGCCCTTAGTTATCAGCAGGTTCCCAATTAAAAGTATCACTGAACAAATAAAGTCAGAGATCAGACTCTTGATAGTTTAGGAGAATTTCCAATTTAATAAATTTCGAGGAGGGCAGCAGACCTGAGGTGCTAATTCTGTCACGTGATTGTCTTGCAGACAATCCCCATCTGGCAGAACAAGCCCCATGGCTCAGCACGCAGCGTGGTCAGGATGATCGGGTCAAACCTCCCTCTGAAACCCTGTCCCAGAGCCACCTTCGAGGTAAGTGGCTCGTGGGGTCTGGGGGTGGCTGTGGGAGCTGCTGTTCTGGGGCAGGACAAGGCAGTGCCTGTTTGTCACTGCACACCCACACGGTTGTAGCCACAAAACTTGTTGCAGTACAGCTAATTTTAAGATTTTTTTTTTATCCTTAATTTTTCCTTTTATCCTTAATTCTGTTCTTGGAAAGCGACCCTTGGCAACTTGAGGAAATACCTCCTCAGACAGTGCCTGAGGAACAGGTTTAACCAGCTGGAGGGGATGGAAACTGTGGAGCTGCTGACTCAGTGCTTTGTTGTGTGACCTCCAACAGGCCTCGTGCCCTCTGGGCCTGTTTCCTAAACAGTCAGACGGGGTTTATGGAGGCACTGACGTCACTGCTGGAGCTCAAGGACAGCCCTGGGACTTGTAGTGGCAAAGTGTTGCACGTGGCCTTGGCAGTGTCTGGGCTGGATCAGGTGTCCCTTCCTGCCTCAGACACGCACCAGCACACCAGGAACACGTTCAGGAGCCAAGCCAGGGAAGCACAAGAGTTCCCAAACCCGATGGTGTTGCTGTTGTACATCTGACAGAGGCAGCTGCTGCTCTGTTGCTGAGGGGATGGGCTCTGCCAGCTGGTGCAGCACATTTTGGGTGGCTTCAGGAGACAGAAACACCGTCTCCTTAACAGTATTTTCTTCTTTTTAGGTTCTACCAAGTGTTTCAGATCTCTATTTAAATGATGTGCCCCCAGTCCCCACCTTGGCTGACATTGTGTGGATCGCAGCAGACGATGAGGAAACGTATGCCAGAGTCAGGTTGGTTCCTCTCCCTGTCTGCAGGTCCCTGTTTTTATCCCCTGGTTTGTTTTGCACAGCTCAGGCCAGGCATTGATCAAATGGTCACAACTTCCAGTCCTCACAGGCTCTGATGTGGTGCCTGTTGAAAGACATTTTTCCCAAGAGAAGGGGATAAAAAAAATTACAAAGGACCCCATGAAGAGTTCCTGTAGGAAGTGCCACGAGTCTGTGCCGTGCCATTTTTTACTCACTGGCTGATCTGTGCAGAGTAACCCCCTGATCTAGGATGGTTTCTGGTTAGGAAGTTGGAGAGTTGAGTTCTCACGGGACTGAAATGTTCTGCCCTCAGGGGGTTTGTTTCTGGCCAGTGGAACTTCTGTCCTCGAGCAGGGCAGTGCTGACAGGTGTCTTGTGAAAGAGAAAACAGGCTTTGGAGTCAGAGGCAAATGTTCACTGGTAAGTGACATTTCCCATGTGCCCCCAGCATGGGGACACAGTCACCAGGAGAAAGGTGACTTCAGACCATGTGAGCACACACAGACCTTCATCCCTGAGTCCTCTCACCACATCTTGTGCCACTGGGTCATGATTTCTGTGACAGACTTTCACAGAATCCCAGACTGGTTTGGGTTGGAGGGGACCTTACAGCCCCTCTCATTCCACCCCCAGGGGCAGGGACACCTTCCACTAGATCAGGTTTGCTCCAAGGCCTGTCCAAGCTGGCCTTGAACACTTTCAGGGATGGGGCAGCCACAGCTTCTTCTGTTCCTTGTTAATTCACTGTGTTAAAAGCTCCTGCTGCCCTCAGTGGAAGCCCAGCATTGTTGTCACAGAGGGGTTTGGACCCTATAAATGCCCAGCAGGTTTTTGTCCCCCAGGAGCGACACTCGCCCGCTGAAGCACA